ACCACCTATAGACTCTAGACAACCGATACCGCCAACACCAGCAACAAATCCAGCGTAGCTAACCCCCGAGACCGGCTCTACACCAAAACCAGAGACAAACCTCCCCGCGCAGGGGACGTAGCCCTCCGAACCGCAGCCCTTCACGCCGCACGGTACCCGCCGCTATAACCGCCAACGACCCTATGGACCTAAGCAACCAACGCCGACCATAGGGCCCGAACCAGAGGGAAAACAACCTCTGCTTCCGCTATGGCTCCGATAGTTACTATATTCGAGATTGCCGGAAGCCAGACACCAGACGCACTTAAGCCCGATTTACCGCTTTAAATAGCGAAGACCTGTCCCTTACTAGATCCCCTGACTCTCCCGCGCCGGATAGTCGGAGGTTAATACCCTCCCTAGACCGCACGGAAAACGGAGTGAGCCTGCCCTAAGTCACCGGCAGGTGCTAGCAGAACGTATAACTACTATCCCCGAGAAAACCGCTTGGAGAACGCTTCAAATCTCCTCGGCCGTTGTGCATAGCGTGCCGATTGAGGAGGAATATAACCAACGATCGAACCTAATAATTCTGCCTACTAAACTACTTTTACCCGATAATATTACTTTACCCGCCCCCGTAATACTTAACAGCGGAGCTAAGGGGAAGGCCTTTATCGATAGAAGCTGGGCCGAGAACCATGACCTAAGAATGCACCGACTGACACACCCGATTACGATCGAGGTGTTCGATAGCCGCCCCGCAGAGAGCGGCCAGATCACACACTATATCCGCAGCCGGATACGGATAAACGACCACGAACAGAAGAACATAATGTTATACGTAACCTAACTTGGAAGCTACCCGATCGTGCTTGGGATACCTTGGTTAAAATAACACGACCCTCTCGTTAGCTTTGGAAGCCACACACTACGCTTTAACAGCCCGTACTGCCAACAGCACTATAACATACCCGGACTTTCGTCAAAAGTTATAGCTATGCATACCGTTCCTGCGAAAATCCGCTAGTATCTAAAGCCCGCCCCCGGACCACTAAGCTAACGCGATATCTTTCTAGTATCGTTAAGAGCCGTATCTATATATGCCCGAAGGAGCGATATAAGGCTATTCGCTATCACTATAGCCTAGATCGAAGAGATAATTACAGAACCTACCGAATAAGAACCTGCCTTACCCCTAGAGATCGCCGAGTTCGCTAACGTGTTCTCGCCTAAAGAAGCTAATAAACTACCGCCGCACCGACCTAGAGACCACCATATCTAGTTAAAAGAGGGAAGCACACTACCGTTTAGACCCTTATATAAGATATCTCGAGAGGAACTAAAGACCCTAAAAGAGTGGTTAGAGGAGAACCTGCGAAAAGGATTTATTCGACCAAGCTCCTCCTCTATGGCGTCCCCTATATTGTTCGTTAAGAAGAACGATAGCGGACTACGCTTCTATGTCGATTACCGCGCTCTAAATAACGTTACTATTAAAGACCGATACCCGCTGCCGTTAATTAAGGAATCCCTAAATAACCTAGCTAGCATACGATATTTCTCGAAGATCGATATCGTCTCTACGTTTAATAATATCCGGATACGCGCAGGGGAAGAGTACTTAACCGCCTTCCGCACTCGATTTAGACTATACGAGTCGCTTATTATACTATTTAGAATGACTAGAGCCCCTGCAACCTTCTAGAGGTATATTAATAACGTACTAAGAGAATACCTTAATGTTTTCTATACCGCCTACTTAGACGACATCCTGATCTATAGCCGAACGAGGTCCGAATACGAAGAACACCTACGAATAGTCCTAAAAGCCCTAAGGAACGCTAGGCTATATACTAAGATATTAAAGTACGAATTCTTCGTGACCGAGACGAAATTCCTAGGCTTAATTATCGGCCGAGAGGGAATCCGAATGGACCCTAAGAAAGTCCGGACCGTGAGAAACTAGAAGACGCCGACCTGCGTTACCGATGTGTAAGCCTTTCTGGGTTTCGGTAATTTCTACCGGAGATTTATCCGGGACTACTCGAAGATCACCGCACCCTTGAACCGCCTAACTAGAAAGGGAGTCCCGTTTTATTAGACTACTAACTGCCGTAACGCCTTCGAAGGCCTAAAAACCGCTTTTAGCACCGCCCCGATACTAGCCCCGTTTAACTAGGAAAAGAATGTTATCCTAGAGACAGACGCCTCCGACTACGTCTCCGCTAGGGTGCTATCCTAGGTAGGGGATAATAGGATACTGCGACCTGTTGCCTTCTTCTCGAAGAAGCACACTACTACTAAGTATAACTACGAGATCTACGATAAAGAACTGATAGCTATAATTCGCTGCTTCGAGGAATAGCGCCCGGAGTTAGAGGGAGCCTCTTCACCAATCAAAGTGATCACCGACCACCGCAACCTAGAGTACTTTACCATAACGAAGCTACTAAACCGAAGACAAGCCCGTTAGTCTAAGTTCCTATCACGATTTAAGTTTCAGATCACCTACCGACCCGGGAAGCAAGGTGCCAAGCCCGATGCTTTAACTAGGAGGTCAGAGGATCTCTTAAAGGAGGGGGATGAACGCCTTCTCCACTAGAGCTAGATAGTACTAAAGAGAGAGAACCTGGACCCGAGGGTAAGGTTCCACGCCGCTCGCTTACTAACCGAACTTCCTACCGACTTATCCGACCTCTTTAATAAAGGCTATGCCGCTAATAAAATCCTGGAATCTATTTAAGAAGCGATCCGCAAAGGTAAGCGACGCTATGCCCGTATCACACTATCTAAGTGCACCGAGAACTATAACCGCCTATACTTCCGAGACCGCTTATACGTCCCTAACCACGACGAACTAAAGGCTAAACTACTCCGCCGCTGTCATAAGTCACCCGTTGCCGGACACCCTAGACGAGCCCGCACCTACGATATCCTATCCAGAAGTTACTTCTGGCCAGGCATGCTGGCATACGTGGAAAGATGGATCAAGAACTGTCACACCTGCCGCCGGTCTAACCCGTCCCGAGACGCCTACCAAGGAGTCCTAAAGCCGCTACCGATCCCCGAACGCGCCTGGAGAGACGTGTCAATGGACTTTATCACACACCTGCCTCCGAGCCAGGGATACGACGTAATCCTCGTCGTAGTAGACCGTCTAACGAAGATAAGATACTTAATACCCTATAAAGTAACCTACGATTCGGCTAAGACTGCCCGTCTATACCTACACTATGTCTAGAAGCTACACGGCCTACTATTAACTATTATATCCGACCGAGGCCCCTAGTTTGTTTCTGAGTTCTGGAAGAGCTTGAACCGACAGCTATAGATCAAGAGCCTATTATCAACCGCTATACACCTACAAACGGACGGCCAGACCGAACGCTTTAATACTATCCTAGAACAATACCTACGATCCTACGTATCTTATCTATAAGACGACTAGTCTACCTGGCTCCCGCTAGCTGAATTCGCTACTAACTCCTAGAAATCCGAGACTACTAGTATGTCGCCGTTCTTTACTAACTACGGCTCCCACCCCCGGATGGGGTTCGAACCAGATATCCCTACCGCTAATACTCCCGCCTCCCGGGACGCAGAAAGCTTTATTCGTAAGATAAAGTAGATTAATAAACACCTATAGTCCGAATCAACCGCCGCCCAAGCCCGCTACGAAGACCAAGCGAACCGGAACCGCCGACCTACCCGCACGTATCGTACTAGAGACTTAGTCTAGCTGGACGCCCGAAACCTGCGAACCCTGCGGCCGCAGAAGAAACTAGACTGGAAGAACATCGGCCCCTTAAAGGTCGAGAAGGCCGTGTCGCCGTACGCCTACAAACTAGAACTACCTATAAGTATAAGAGTACACCCTATGTTCTACGTTAACTTACTCCGACCCGCTACTAATAACCCCTATCCCAGACAACGTATCGCACCCCCGCCGCCTATTGAAGTTAATGGGGCTGAAGAGTTTGTGGTATAAGAGATAGTAGATTCCCGCTGGGAACGAAGAGGCCGAGGTAACCCACGATTGCGGTATACTATAAAGTAGGTTGGGTATAATGATCCGACCGAAGAACCCGCAGAGTATCTGGAGAACGCGCAACAGATCGTCGCCAACTACCACCGCCGATATCCCGATAAACCTGGTCCTTGATGAATACTCGCAGGAGCTCGCCCTTGAAAGGGGGGCGTATTGTCACAGCTGGTCAAGAGCGGGGACCCACCCTGCACCTGGCAGTCACGTGAACTCGCGCCTGCCTTTGCATTTTGTCGCGATCCCGACCGTCTTCTGTTGTAGCTCTTCGAGCTACGTCTTGTACATAGAGCCTGCCCTACCTGAGGAGTGCCTATCCGTAGCAATAGACCAGATCAGCCTGACCGAGTGTTCCCCGTCCTACCTGCCGACCGACCCCCCCTGACATAAAACAACTTTTATAATTGCTAGGCTCTTCCTTAAAGTATAATGTAATTTAATAAGTAACAACGTAAGTATTACTATTACTTTCTTTAATTTTGCAATCATACAACCTATGAGAATAAAGTAGGTTAGTAAATTAGCTAGACGGAGGGCATTTTTTCTCGTGAGTCCGAGAACTACTGGGTTCTCTAGTAGCCTTGGAACGAAATAAGTACGAGTATACAATAAAAATCCTGGGGTAGATTAGCACAAGTCTACACTAGGGATTACTCGTTGCCATTAGGATCATCTCTATTTATTTACAATAGTCTTCTTCCTTAAACTCTCTTTGCCTTCCCAACTCCGCCCCTGTTCAACAGCATTCTCTAGCTCGAGAATGCATTTCTCCTTAGAGTAGCAATTACCCAGAGTGATGTTATTTCTCAAGAGTGCGGTCACGCTCCTCAGCTCCCTGCTCCTCTTGAACTCGCCCACCATGCGAGCGATAACTTTTGCATTTACCGTTATGTGCGGACGACTCTTGACATACCAGAACAGTTTCTCATATATTAGAGAAGTACCAGCAATCATTCTGAGGATAGTCGAAGACGTATCAGATGCAGTTAGTGGCCCCAAGAAGTTGATCGCCGCCAAGAACTTCGCACCAAGAATCGTTCCTGAAGAAGCGTCGAAGCAACCCTGCAACACAAGGTTGCGGATCTCAGAATCGTGGGTGAGGCGTGTGCATCCCGGAATGCCCCAGATATTGTTGACGGTGAGCAGAATTTTTAGAAAGGCGCGGTATAGAGCTGTTGCTCCTACAAAAGGGATGAAGGGAATGGATGAGGGGCCCACTGCCTTCCAAAAGACTTCCATCCCGAGCCTCATTGATTCTGTGCCATAGTTAGCGTAAATGAAGAGACCAGTAAACTGCAAAATACCTTTGAGTTTCATGTCGGCCGAGTGGCTTTGCGCTGCAGTCCAGAGAAGCTTCAAGCCGTCCTCAAGCAGTAATGATTTCGTCTGAGCGATAAGGGAGTCGACCCCAGACGTCTGCTGGGACGAATCTGCAAATGTAAGCATGTCCAAATATTATGTATCGGGTGGGACTGTCCTACATTCGTCCGGCTGAGGCATACTAAGCCTGATGATAGCCACCCTCAGCCGTCGTCCAAATTGGCTCTCGAATTGACCGCGGTAGTTGTCGTCGTAGTCTGCAACAGCAGCGTTCATGGAGTCCTTGTCGATTTGATCCATGTCCAGTGACTGATTTCGGCTGCGTAGGGACTTGCACATCTTGTTGAAATGGGAATCGACAAGGGTGTCAAACTGCGTGAAGACGACAACGACGGGTATATCACCGACATCGACGTTGAGGAAGAATTCCCTTTCAGCGCTCTCGATGGGTCGGTTCGATCTGCAGCTGATGCAGTACCTGGAGAATATTGATATTAGATTAAGTTTCCATGATAATGGACAGATGGGCGATACCAAATACAATGCAATTGATCGGCCAGGTTGTGCTGCTCCCGACGAAATTTGATAAATCTTTTAATCTCCCGGACACAACTCAAGTCGCCGGCCTCGAAGCCTCCTGAATCGTGCATAATGAGGTTCTCGTTGTCGCCGGGAAAGGTCACCGGGTGCCATACCCTATCAATCCGCGTGCCGACCGAATAGTGGGAAACTCCTGTCTGTCTCTGACCATCAGTCGAGGTGGCTCTTTCAAAGGTAAATACTTGCGTGAAAAGTGTCAACCTTTTCCGGAGGCACGCCAAAGACGGTAGAGCATATCGTAGACTTCCCAACCCCTGCTTTGCCGATGACCAAGATACGAAACTTGTCGCAGCCGTCAGGTAACATCGGCACTGGGGGCGGGCTCACAACTATCTTTGAGGTATCAATCTCAAGGCGATAGTTATCATTTTGTGCGTTCAAATCGATTGGATCCTCTCTGCGATTGCTAGAGGAGCTCATTCTGTAGGATAGAGAGGCGCAATAATTACGTGAAGATTTTCAAAGAGGGGAACTACTTGCACCCGGATCTTCGAGCGTCGAATCTCGGTCTGCTTTTTTAACAGAGGGACGGCAGATTACACAGACATGGCTGCGTGCGGCTGAGACACATCACCAAGTCTAGACCGCTTCACGTTATGACCTAGCATGGGAAAGCATGCGCTGTCATGCAGCCTATACTAATTATATCGAGAAATAATATCTTATAATTATTCGACTTCTATATATAATCTAGAATAAGGGTATTTAATTCTAGTTAAGGTGACCTAATAACTCTTAGTATATAGAGAATATAATTATAACACGGCTAATGTTATTAAATTAAATATAATTCTAAGAGTCCTCTATCTTAAGTTTATTAATAAAAGTATCGAACTTCTTTTTACAAGTTTTATTTTTATTAAATAATATATTTATGTATGATATAGTTAACAAATAATTATTCTAGATAAACTGATATCTTATATATCGACTCTTCTCCTTTATAATTATTTAATTAGCTGATATATAATAACTAAGTATAATAGTCTTAGACAATAAGGCTAACATTAGTCTAGTACTTTAAGCTTTTTAAAAAGACCTAGAGCTTAGCGTATAATATATATTATACTTTGGAGGTTATATAGCTATTTGACTAAGATATATTTACGCTATATAAAGGTATTTTATACTAGTCATATACATATATAAATACGATAACGATAGGATAGTATTTATAACGCCGTAGCTAATTAGGCTGGGCGTATACGATCCGAGGAGCAGCCGCGCTATAGCTATTTAGGCTAACCGACTAGCTGCCTAAGAACGTTTAAATTAATTATCTTTTTTTTACTTATTTAATCTATCTTTTAGTATATTAACCTAGAACAATTCAGACTCGCTTATAAACTCGACCTTACCAAAAATAAATAAAAATAACGCTAGGAATAAAAAGAAAAATAATAAAAACTCTAAGGCTTAAGAAAAGACTATAATATAGGAAAAACCTATAAAGAATACTATAACAATAGTAAGATAGATTAGGTAGGGAGAGAAGGTATATTCATAAAACTCAAACTTATTTCTTCTTCTATAAGTAGAAATAAGTATATTATACCTAAAGCACTTGGAATATCCGGAGGTTAGGTATAATACTAATAAATCGGGTACGTATTATTAATACTAATATAGCGGTACGCTATAACATCCGAGGCCTCCGTCCTCCGTGATCCCTTGTGACTGCACCGCTGACTTCCTTCGGCCACGGTGTTATATTTTGCCTTAGGCCTATATAGCTTAGATTGCCTAGCTAGCTAGCGATAGGCACCCGTAAGAGCGTATAATTTATTATCATTATTATTATTATTATTATTATTATTATTATTATTATTATTATTATTATTATTATTATTATTATTATTATTATTAT